CCGGATTTATACATTTTAATCACCCACCCCATGCACTACGGTTTGGGAAATACTAAACCCAAACCCATCTAAAAAAATCTAAACCCTACGGTTTGTTTCTAATTGGGTTTTCGGGTTGGCGATATTGTTAAGTAAAAACCCAACCCAACACAAAATATGTAATTATTCTACACCATAAAAATATTTTATAACTAATTAAAAATTCAAAAGAATAAACCGAGGTGAAAGGTATCAAACTTCACAAATGTTGTTTAAATTATAATAAAATTTGATTTACTTCAACTTATGTCTACTTTTTTCACGACATTTGTTGAAACAGGCTAAAAAGGTCACAAATGAACGCATCCAAAATATGTTATTCTATTAAAATTGAACACAAGAAAAAAATTTATGTGAATCATAGCTATATTAAATTTATTTCTAAACTTTAAGCCGAAAAATGCATTAGATTAGGGGGGCCTCAAGAGAAAAACATGGCGAAATATCTTAATTTTCTCATAAGTATGGCTATATACGACATAAATATTTTTTTGGATACGAAATCATACCAATAATTGGAATACGGGTTGGGTCGGGTTCTACGGGTTGTGTAATCCAAAATCCAAATCCAACCCAAAAGAGGAGGGTTGTACAAAAGAAAATTCTCACCCAACCCAAAATCTTCATTTTAGCGATAAATACGGGTGGGTTGAGCCGGGTTGGACGGATGTGTCGGTTTATGGGTGTGTTTGTTCACCCCTACTGGATACCGTAGAAAAAATATATAGAATCCCTTGGGCCTCATTTGAACACTAAATCAGTTTACCCTTTAGACCACCAGAAGCTAGCTAGGTAGACTCATTTCTAAACTGATCTACTTCCTGTTTTATGCCATTGCGAGTGGCTAGCTCAATAGTTATGATATTTCACTAGGCTCATACAAGTTGGAGCTTATGATGAATTAGAAGTTCAAATTTGAATGTTGTGATTGATGTGTTTGTTTTGACGTCATATTTCCAAAAGGTTCTTACGATTCTAATTGATTTTGCTGTAATTTAAGCATATTATTTACTAATTAATGTTCATATTGATGATCTTAACATACTCATATAATGATCTGAACATATATGTAGTATGTTCAATAGTAGGAATTATCACCTAAAATTTTCAAAAGTTGTGTCACTCTCATTGGATGGATACGAAATTTGGCCTATCAAATAGATGTGACTATTGCTTAGATTAAGCTTCTGTTCTATATTGACCATGCTTGTATGTTATATTTCCATATTTTCTTGAGAAACTACTAGGTTCTTGTGAATAGTAGAACAGGGAGCTAGATGATAAAAATATGAAAGTTTCAGAAAAGTACTGGAAGATGAGTTGTTTTACTATTACGACAAAGGGAAAGCAAGATTACTGTCCAACAGCAGGGCATTTGGTCTAGTGGTATGATTCTCGCTTAGGGTGCGAGAGGTCCCGAGTTCAATTCTCGGAATGCCCCAAATCTATCATTTTTTCCAAAGTGAATATATTTTTTATGACATAAAAGAACCGGAAACTAACTGTCATATACTTCTACGTTGCTGACTTTAGACAAAATACTTCAAATGATAGTAATGTGTATTTTTACAGGTACACATGAATGAATCTTTTTACAGCGCTATAATCCAAACCCAAAGAATCCTCTTTCCTTGTATGATATATCATCCAAAGAATGTTACCCCTCTCTGGTTTTTCGTTCTTTTTTTCATCTTTCTGGTGGGTTCCTTTACACAGTAATATAGAAAACACAAAATTTGACAAAATTTTAGTTTTAGTTACAGCAGCAACTACGCTCTTTGCCTCTCCTTTTACAGAACCTGTAATCCCGTGGCTACGCGGAGCAGTTCTTCAGTTAAAAGCCACTCCTTTTCTTCCTGCCGCAAAGTGGAAAAGTACATTGGTTGTTTTTAACCGTGGTAAATTTATGGCACATTATGCACGAAGCATCCCTTCAATCCGTGGCTACTTCTTCGCCTGCAGAAGAAAACACTCGATTAGCTCTTCACAGTGATGACCACCCACAACTCAATCAGAATATCGGCAGAAGATTGATAAAAAGATGAAGACACATTCCAGTAACCATGAAAAAAGGAGCAACCACGAATGAATGGCATCAACTTTACAGACGCATCCATGTATCTCTACTGCATAACACCGTACCAGCAGCATTATCGATTTGAATCCCCAGTGACTGACAGAAATGGCATATACTCTTTTAAGCATGGATCACAGAATGAAGGGCTTGTGGGTTGCTCGAAGCATTATGGCTTTATTAGGCTTGTAGTGATTGGGAAAAGGAAGAGAACTACTTCAAGATAACTATCGTCGAACTTATTGATGAGAGATAGCTTTATGGCCAAATATGCTGGGAAGGACTCGACATCAAAATTAAATGCATAGACATGCTGATTCACATTGCACAAAATCAGGTGACGAAATAGTGCCTTGGGGCTACAATGTACCTTTTTCAAATATTTCTTGTGAAGTTTCATTGCACCAGTGCAGGCCTTCTTGGCATCTAAATTACCAGTAATGTCGTTCAATATCTGAATGGCATCACAGAAGGACAAGAAAGAAAGAGCAAACATCAAAAGGGTAAACAGAAGATGATAACTTTGAGGCAATATTTCTCGAAAGCCGAGAATTACAGAGGTAGGAAGTTAAAGACCAAACAACGTTTTAGTACCAATGCTCTTTAAAAACTAAGTGCACCTATGGATTCTCATTACAAACTTACCCTCCATGTAAGATTACCAGTCTTATGTCTTAAGAACTACAGTTTAAAAGTCGTTTTGAACAAGCAGGCAGGGTTGAAACAGTTTTGGCTCTATGTTATCTTCTTCTCCACAAAAAAAGTTCTCCATTTTTTGTGAAACTGAGATGAGTTATCCTGTCGGCTCCGAAGTTGAAATATGGGATATATGTTGGAAGCTCACCTTGACAACATCATCCAGGCCTCGGGCTTCTTGTAGTAGCTTTGCACTTTTATCTTTCAAGACACTGGCAACGAGGAAAACAGAGATGGGAAGGGGGGCTTCTGCTGCTGAACCGCTTTTCATGTTCTCCCTCTCGTACTTCCCATAGTGACGTATAGACTTTGTTCTTCCTTTAGATCCCTCGGCTGTTTCAGGCTCTTCATACAACTCGAACAAGTCGGGATCATATTCAAGAGCCCACATCATCTGAAGGAAGAAAAAATTTTGTCAGTAACAAGAAGGGTTTTTTCATCGGAAGCTGAAGGTGTCAGCGAATCCACACATATGAAGTGTGAAGGCGGGAAAATGTTTGGAAAAAATAATAAGGGAAACCTACACAGTGATAAATAAATGCAAAAAGGAAGTTCAAAATAAAGATTAAGGCAGTCTTCATTGTTCAATATTGCAAATTGAGGAATAGAATGACGCAGACTATCGGAAGTTGCATATGCCTCGAGTCACTACTCAATGAATGGAGCTGGAACTTATATTTAAATGCTCAGAGACATACCTCCCACAGGTACAGTGAGTCGCAGAAAGAGAACTCCCGCCGAAATAGAACCATAAGCATACGGAAGGCAAATAAATAGTCACCTCCACCAAGAGCCTCTGTTTTGCAATGTCGAAAGAGGCATGTTACTTCAATTGTCACTTAATCGGAGAGCAAAAGAATAAAGATAAATTTATTTATCTTCTTTCTGTTTTAAGGAATGCATCTGTCTGCTGTGAAGACCAAACAAATAGTCTTATTGCCACTGCTGTGGACTGTGGAGTGTAAATAACTTGAAACATTGCAAGCTTATGATATGATGATGATGAGATGTGATGCACACAATGAGAAAAAAAATTCAAAACACAATACCTAAATGCTGATGAAGTTTTGGATCAATAACTTGAGTAATCGCCGCCAAATTACTGAGTTGTGACTCCACACCAACAGAGCTCTCTGTGCATCTAAAATTTCCTCGCTATTGAATTCAAGCAAGAACAAATCATTATAAGGTTGATATTGGATATTAACATTTTGGTGAAGCTGAAAGAAATGTCTTCAAGAACCCACTTCACGTTTAATGCACAAGAAAAATAGAAACAAAGCACGTGTCTTACGGGAAACTAAGGCCTTAAATAACTGCGCAAAGCTAGGCTAGCTATAGCCTATATGGATAAGTGGGATTTTTTTCCCGATGAATATAAGTGGGACAGATATGAGGCCACTGCGTACCACAAAAGACTTACCAGTCAATGAACAAAAAGGTGTTCGCACAACAAGAGCAGTAGTAAAAGCAGAAAATTAAACAAGTAGTAGACAACATTTTTACATAAAAAAGGACTGAATATAATATCAATTAAAGCAAAAGACACGGAAGGTACCAATCTTCTCATCAGACGTTCAAAGCACCAAAATGCATCAGCTTCATCATCAAGAAGAATTATCATGGGGGAGCAGAGATCACTCATTCCTGTCACAGTACCAGGAAATTGAACTTAAGAAGTCAGAAACCCATGTATATCTTTTTAACGTGATAAAAGTACAGCTAACTCTGTCATGACAGCACTATCCTCCAGAGACAGAAATTTTTACTTGTATATGATAAGCAAAAAATCGCATGATTTACGGAAGTCCACACCCAAAAAGTTCAGTAGGGGATAAAACCTCCCCAGGGAAAAAGATGAACAAATAAGTTAAGGGGCTGGCTACTGTGTTAGTTATCACATTATCAGGCTTGGCATGATACATTTTCTCAATTCAAACAGCCACTTTGTTAACCAAATCAATCACTGCAGTTCCTTTTTGTAATTATTACAGTCAAGGACAACTCTCTTGAGTTGAGAGACTGACTACTGTGAAAGCATCCAGTCCATCAACATCAGAGTTTATGTCAGCATAGGAAACCAAGAGACAAGAAGATATTTGATCAGTAATTCCGGCACCTTCAGGTTAAGAGTATTGCAACCGTTCAATACAAGCCGAGAAAGGGTTTACTGAACTGAGATCAAGGCCAGGTTGATGAATAGTTTTCATTGCCATATTGACGAATGCAAAGCTATCATTGGAGTTAATAGATGCCATGTCAATACAGCATAAATCAAAGATGAATATCTGCCATAACATCTGTTCAGTCTGCAGGAATCGTAACATTTTTTACAAACCTTGACAATATCCAACATCTGTGTCAATCCAAGCGTAGACAGCTAGGATGTCCCATAATTTTGACAAATTCTCTTGCTTCTCATAAAAAACCAACGTTCGGTCAGTGCGAATCACGTCCAAACCTACAAGAACCAATCAAAGAAAAGTTCGCATTATTATCAAGGACAAATGGAGATACACTGGACCACGAAAACGATGTGATTAAGTAAAGCAATCATATAACAAGCTAAGAAACAAGGCATCAAACCCTTAACTCGAGCAGCTGGCTCCCACAAGAAAGAATAAGCAAAAGTGGCCAAGACAGAAACACAGGCTACTCCCAGGCCAATAATGCACCAGCAATGTTAATGCTAACGATCTAAACCACTACCTATTTTCTTGTTCCAAATGAATTGAAGAAATACTATCACATTTACTCTAAGGCCAATAATGCACCAGCAATGTAAATGCTAAAGATCTAAAGCACTACCTATTTTCTTCTTCCAGATGAATTAAACATAGACTGGCAACAAGAGTAAAAGTTAAACAAAAGAAGAAAAACATTACTCATTCAAAAAACGCTGACCTATTTGATGCAAGGTAAGAATCCACTGGATTACTTTCTTGTCCAGAGGGCCATGGCTGATAATCTCTTTCATCATTTGCCAACTGGCAATATTTATACTTGATTGAGTTTCACCGTTAGCAACAGTTTCACCGATCACTTTTGGACTGCCAGCTTCACCCTCTTTACCAGCTTCACCCTCTTTACCAGCTTCACCCTCTTTACAAGCTTCACCCTCTTTACAAGCTTCACCAGCTTCATCTTCTTTACCAGCTTCACCAGTTTCACCGGTCTCACCAGTCTCAGCAGCATCCATATCCTTGAGAGGTTCAGCTGCAGCATTATTACTTGCTCCTACAAGATACATTGGCTCCTGAACAGGCTGGCCATCTTCGGTGATTACAGGTGCGGTAATAAACTTGCCACTTCCGACAATAGGGAATTTTTCTCGGCATTCCTCTTTCCACTTAGCATATTCAACCCTAGATTGTAGGAGAAGTGGACTAGTAAGTATCTCCTAAGGTTAATGGAAGGGAAGATTTGAGCTTTTGAAAATAACAGTATGGCTAGCCACATCATTCAAGTGAAGAGAAAATAGATGTGATGAGATGGTACTAGGAGCCAGCGGCATTGAATCTCATAGAACTCAAGGAAAGATCAAAGCCAAAAATAAACAAAATGTAAGTAATCTTATTGCAGGTGATAAAGTTGTAGCAACTTTGCTTTCGCCAAAAATTGCTGAGGTGGTACAATGGTAGTCTCCAATCAACAGCATCACGAATGTTATTAACATAACGTATTTGACACCTTCGATACAAGCACAGCAGACATGATGTCTCTAATATCCTACATCAGTCAGATCTCTACTACATCTAATTCATGAACAGAATGAAAAGATGTTACCTTCTACGCTGTCGAATCTCATCTCGTTCTTCAAATGTACTCTTAGGATCATAACAACCAAGTAGAAATTCCCAAACTTCCCCTCTAATTGATGGATGGATCCCCTGAACGAGCAAGAAAGAAAGCAAAGCGACTTTAAGTCTCCAACCGCTAACATTCCAGACTAACAAATACGCTTCCCTTTGCAGGAAAGATGCACCTACCCCACGTTGAATTCGACCTAATGTCTTGCTTATATCCAGGTGGCCTTCTGGAGTAAATGCAGCCTGCCATTTCCTGACACTCAGAGTCTTACCAGGCTGCAGAAAGATTGAACATCAAGATGAGCATCTTCAATCCCTCCCCACAGCTTCACACGCTCCATACCGAAAGATAAATGCTAATGGGCAAGGAATAAAAGCAGAGTGGGGAACCAACACACGAATCATGTGGATTCCTAGTAATTAACAAGCTGGAACAAAATTGCCATTGATCATGAAGATTCTTGAACAAATTACACAGGCACAAGGCCCCTGCCATTTTCAACTTCGATTTCGCAATGCCCAAAACCAGTGATTTCTTCAGATCATACATATCCAAGCAAAAGAAAAACAATATGGGTATCGCAGGAATACCAAAACTGAAACATTGCAATCAAATTACGGTGCAGTGATCCAAAATTAACGAAAGAGGAGCAGCAGGGTATAGGGATCAAAGAATGCAGAGATCAAATTGCCAAAAAGAAATGAGCTCGAACGTGAAAGAAAAAGGAAGAAAACAGACCTTGATTTTAAAGCGGGTTTTAGGAACATCCGTACATTCTGGGCGGACCTCGTAGTAAGAATCCGCGGGCTCTCCAGAGCTCCACATTTACAACCCAAGAAACTGTAGGAGAAAAGATGGTAGAGAGGGGGAAAAGGAAGGAGCTTTTCTCCTTGGCAGGAAAGTTGAAGAAGAGGAAAAAGGATCAAGAAAGAAGGAATCAAAGACCCAGCAGCAGGAACTTGGACACAGTTTCTTCAAGCAAACATTCGAAGCGATGAAGATGGAGCTACGAAGAATTCGTGATGCAGAGAAATGATCAATGATTCAAAAGAGAAGACCCATCGTCAACACACCGCCACAACCAAGGAGACCTGACGACCGCGACAAGTTCAATGCTGTGGAAGACGGACGGACGGACTGGGGCGAAAACAACGACAAACCCAAAAACAACAGCCGGGAATTTTCTATTTTTCCGTTTTTCCTACCTTTCTGTTTTTATTGTTATAATTTCGTGTTTATATTTTCTTTCATTTTTAGATGGTTTTTAATATCTTTCTATTTTCTTCTGGTTGTTTCCGTTAAGTAGTTAATTATTGTTTGTGAGGTTATGCTTGTCTCTGCCTTTTTACTAATTACCTCAATTCCTATTTCCTTGTATTTCCTGTGTTTTCTTGATTTCACCCTACTTTACATTATTACAAATATATGCCATGAAGATATTTTTAAATTTTTTTTTGGTGAAATTGAATTATACCCTCTCTGGCAAATAGGGATGGCAATCAAACCCATGGCCGCGGGTATCCGACCGCCCCCGACCCAGTCAACGCGGGGAATCCCCGCTTTGACCGGGTATGGGGTGGGTATGGGTAAAAGTCTATAGGTGTCAAAACATGACCCGACCCGAGTAACCCGCCCAACCAACCCGATCCGCGACCCGCCCGCAACCCGATTAGACTAAAAGTCAAAGACCGACAACCCGCCCGACCCGTAACCCGCTTGACCCGCAACCCGCTTGACCCGTAACCCGCTTGACCTGAACCCGATTGACCCGCAACCCGCTTGACCCGCAACCCGCTTGACCCGTAACCCGACTAACCCGAACCCGCCCGATTGGCACGAATAATACTACATAATATATTTTTGTACATAAATATTATATGTAGATAATATATATAGATAACACATACATATGAAAAACATGATTGGCTTAATTAAGCCAATCATATATCAGTACCTAATAATTACAACATTTTTTCTTCCACACATAATATAACTGGTCACATAACATTGTCAAAATATTAACCTAGAATACGAAGATTCATAATAGTACATAAGTCATAACTCATACCCTAGCCCCAATAATAAGAAGATACATAATAGTTTGCTTACTAAGTTCAACCATATGTCAACGTATACATAAAATTCACTTAATGTATAGCATAGTTAGTAAAATACGGTACGGGAAAGTTACGTATAAAATACTTACGGGTATTATACTTTTCTCTTAGTTTATGTTACGTTTAATAGTACGTTAATAGTTATAAATATATAAAACTAATTACTTTTATAAATAAATCAATATGTAAAAAATAGTAAAGTTAATAATTAATTTCATTAAATACGGATACGGTAGTGGACTCGTGGTTTATAGTTGGAAGATTAGGATTTAGGACGTATGTTCTTCTCAATAACTGAATACAAAATTGACTTAACTAACATTCTTCACATATCATACGTTATAATTTATACCAACAATTTCATAACACATAACTATAGTTCATGGTTTAAGGTTAGTGTATAGGGTATACGGTAGTGAACTCGTGGTTTAGAGTTTGGAGTCATAAGACGTATGTTCTTCTCAATAACCGAATATAAAATTGACTCAACTTACATTCTTCACATAACATACATTATAGCTTATACTAACAATTTCATAACATATAACTATAGTATAGGGTATAGGGTTAGGGTTTAGGGTTAGGGTATAGGGTTAGGGTTTAGGGTTAGAGTTTAGGGTTTATTCATGGTTATGCTTTATGTTGGATATTTTGATTTTTATAGTTTATTAATTAATTTGATTTTAACAATTAGTTTAACTTGTGAATGTACATCTTAAATATATCATATTCAAATGACATTACGACCAACGAATCGAACAACAAACTAATTAATCGGTATAAAATTTATCATCTATAATAATAAATATCAAAGAAAGGAAGAACTAGATGTTTATGGAAATTTTTTGAATGCAAAATTCAAACCCCCCCCCCCCCCCCCCCCCCAATATTTGCTCAAAAATTCTCTTGCAAACCCATTTTTAAAAAAAATCCCTCCCATAAACCCACCTCCCCCAAAATTTGATCAAAAATTGAAAATTCCCCCCACCTTCCCCAAAATTTGATCCAAATTTGAAATTCCCCCCATCCCAACCCAACCTAATTTCCGTGGAAAAAAAAAAGTACTATTAACAATATATTTTTTTAATCAATTGAGAAGGGAAAAAAGAATTGGTCTTCTACGGTTAAAAATATCTGTCTTCTATTTCTATCAATAAAAAAAAAAAAACAACGAAAGTAAGAAAGGAAACACAAAAATCAAATTCACTTTCCCTTTCCCTTATCCCTTCTCCGCCTCTCTCTCGAATCAACCCTACCTCCTCCTTCTCCTTCTCCTTCTCCTTCTCCTTCTCCTTCTCCCTCTCCCTCCCTCCCTCAATCGGAGAAAAAACCCTCCCTTCTCCTTCTCCTTCTCCTTCCCACAATCGGAAAAAAACCCGCCTAGTTGTCGTCGCCTCCGCCGCCTAGTTGTCCTCGCCTCAGCCGCCTAGTTGTCCTCGCCGTTGTTGTTATTGACGGAAGCAGAGGAAAAAAACCCTCCCTTCTCCTTCTCCTCCGCCGCCTAGTTGTCATCGCCGTTGTTGTTATTGACGGAAGCAGAGGAAGCGGAAGCAGCCCAAGGTTTTCCTCAGGTAGACTTTTCGCTTTTACTTTGTTTGTATTCTGCTTCATTCGTCAGAGTTTTGGTACTTTGTTTGTAATTGGCTATGGATGTAGAATAAATTGTATGTAGGGAGTGCAATGACTTCCTTGCAAAACTGGTTTACCTTCGCTTAAACTTGTTAGCCGAATCCTTTAGACTTTGATGATCGCTTTACGCTTAAGGTGCCATGTGTTGCTAGGGCTAAACAATCCAAATGGATGTCATAAATCAAACTTAAACAGTATGTACCCAACCCAACTCCATCCTTAGCGAAGTCCACCCAAGTAAACCAACAACCAAAGTTTTTAGTACCATTTAGAAAACTAGTATTGGTAGTAGCAGTAAGTGGCCATCCCAGCCCAGCCTCCCCATTGTAGAAAAACCAGCGTGGGATCTTTTGTAAGCTGGTGATGGCTTTGATTTTGTTGCTAATTCTTTGATTCTAGCTTTAGAGTTTTTCCGGTAAACATAATCAGTGTTTGATTCCGCGGTTGAAGTTATAAAGTATTTGTTACCGAATTGAGCTCAAATTAGATCAAACTCGGCTTAATTTGGATCATTTGCGACCCTAACTTAAAAGTGACCCTCAAATCGCTGCTGTACATTACTGATCAAAGTGAAGAAACAAAGGAATTGAAGCAACAGGGAATTGAAGCTCTATCCCTGTTCTGCTGCTATTCTCCCCTTCCCCTTTTCAGTTTATGCTTTTCTTTTTTCGATTAACTGGAGATGGCTGTAATTTGTAGTGGGCTGCTGCTATCTGCAAGGTGGCAGGTATTTTCCATCGCCTAGTAGACTTGGGTGCTTTGGCTGTATGTTTATGCCGTTGTTGTCCTGTTTACCTGTAGATTAGTAGGTGGGGGCTAAGCTAAGGCCAAATCAATCTCCCTTCTTAAATACATGTTTGTTGGGTGCTTCATTTTGTGCTCGATTATGTTGCACACTTCTCTTTAATTCGGTTTATAAGGGACATGGATTTTGTTTATTGTAGTTTCATTTCTGCTCTAGTTAAGCAGAAATTTCAGCAGTCCTGTTATTGTGTTTGTTGTTTGAATGATTATGTAATTCTTTTTTTTTTTTCTTCTTTTTTCCAGAAGCAATGGACGTCACGGCTAGAAGAAGCAAAATTTGGGAGAATTTCACTGAAGCTGAATTAGGGGGGAGGTCAAGCTTCAATGCAACCATTGCATGAAGGTTTTTGGATGCTATCCTAATAAGAATGGGACAGTTTCACTGTGGAGGCATCTTAAGATGTGCAGTAAGAGAAATCTTCAAGATTAATGGAGCCTTATGTACTTTTCTGTATTTCATTCTATTATATTTGCTTAAACATCATGTAATGGTCTTAACTATCAAGACTCAAGAGATTGTTTGATAGGTTTATGATCAAACAAGTTATCAGCTTTTTAATTTCTTATAATGGTTCTGTAACCTTAATGAATCATCTGCAAAATCAAACTTGTTTATGATATATTCAAGCAAAATCTAGTCACTCATTTGTGTAATAATGTAACTTCATATTTTTTTCATTGCAATATGGTGATCGGTGAGTTTGTTTTAAATTAGTGTAGTAACTAATTATAAAAAAAACTCGATGGTTTGGACCGAACAACCCGCAACCCGACCTGTTGTAACCCGCAATCCGATCAACCCGAACCCGATTGAACCGCAACCCGATCAACCCGTAACCCGATTGATCCGTAACCCGATCAACCCGAACCCGATCAACTCGCAACCCGCTTGACCCGCAACCCGATCAACCCGAACCCGCTTGACCCGCAACCCGCTTGACCCGCAACCCGATTGACCCCCAACCCGACTGAACCCGACCCGAACCCGCCCGATTGACACCTATAGGTAAAACCCGCAAAAAGTTTGATGGGTATGGGGCGGGTATGGTTTTGGCCTCCCCCGCCCCATACCCATCCCCATACCCGCCCCACCAAGATAATTTCTTCATATATATATATATATATAATATGTGCATCAAATTATAGTCTATCAATGATGATGAGGATAACTTGAGAAGATAAATAGTAGAAATGCAATTGATTGACCACCTTAATCAAAATCTAATTCATTTCTCTCAATTCTCATTTCACTCTTTCACTTTCCCCCTTATCAACAAGATTATGTTAGTTAATTATTATTTAGTAGATGTATCAGAGTTAGAACATAATAATTTGAAGAATATTATACTCTATATTATGTATTAATGGATATTTTAGGATCATAATCTTTAAACCATATTAAAAAAATGACCGTGTTTTATTGACTTCATGATATAATATGTTCGTTTAGAATTATAATTAGAACTTTTCTTGTAAGTATTAGGTATAATAATGTTGGATATACGGGTATGGGTATTATCCATGGGTACCCGAAACCCACGGGTATGGGGATGGGTTTGCAAAACATTCCCCCGCATGGGTATGGGGCGGGTATGGGTTTGGGTATTTGAAGATAGGTATGGGGATGGTTTAAGCAAACCCGCCCCAAACCCGCCCCATTGCCATCCCTACTGGCAAAGGCATCTGTTGACTACAGTGGGATATTAGCTGGCTTGGAGTTGGCCATTTGGTTGCTGGTACTTCTTTCTCTTGTTTACATTTCATATTTCCGATAATTTGTGTCTTTTAGAGTTCAATTAATTGTATGAAAGCATGGTTTGTATGGTGGAATGTCACCGGTTGAATCAGGTTTCATTGAGTCGTCGTGAAATCGAAGTTAACACCATCGGTATGACTGACATGATTGATTTACAAATTTTAAGCAAAATGATTGCATTTTATTGAATTTAATTAATAAAAAATTTGATTTATTATTTATTTTATGAATTTAAAAAGTTAATATTATTTTTTGGATTCAAGTATAAACTTTTAAATATTGACATTAAATATAATTTTAAATATTGACATTGTTAATTGTTATTTTATGTGAAATGTCATATTTTATTTAAATATGAATATGAATTGTAAGGATACAACTTGTTTCCGCCAAAAAAAAGAAACCCTAGCGCTCCGTATTATTCGGAGACGGCGACATCGTGATCGGCGAGAATTCCTAGCGAAACACCGGCTCATGCAGGGCGCCGGCCAAAAGGCCCAGCCCCCCGTACCGCGCCCACCGGATCCTAACGGAGGGCAAAGGAGATCACCTGTGATGTCCTCTTCTCCAAATGGTCGTGACGACAAGGAGGCTCAGCATCCAAAAAAGAAGGCCAAGAACGTCCGGGAGAACCCGACTTATGAACCAGCTCCGATGATGGAAGATCCCACTACCGTGCAACAACCCAGTGAGATGGCGAACATTGTCGACAGCCAAGCTGGGAGTCCGAGATCTGCTACGCAAACAGCTTGGGGGGCAGGGACGAAGAAGAAGCTGTTTAGTGACATGTTAACAGAAGACTCGTGGTACGTTGCGGACTCGGACTCCGAGGACGTGGCTATGGCAATGAAAGAGGATGATTTGGACGACGAGATTCTTGAGAATGATGACCCGACCTACCCTACCATCCCTTTCACATCAATGGAAAAGCTACGATACAGACGGAAATGGCGATCAGCCCTGATAGTTAAGGTCTTAGGGAAAACGTTTCCGTTTCCCATCCTATCTAGGCGACTGGAATACCTATGGGCTAAATGTGGTAGCATTCAGATAACCAGTCTATCCTGGGGTTTCTATGCAGTTCGGTTTGCTAATCAGATCGACTATGAGCAAGCAGCTGTGGGTGGGCCGTACATGATAGGCGAATACTACCTTACTGTACGGCCGTGGCGGAAAATTTTTCATCCTAAAACAGCTGAAGTGGCTAGAACTATGGTTTGGGCTAGGCTACCAGCTCTCCCAGTTGAGTTTTTCAATGAAGAAGCGGTTGAGCGTATTGCTGCGTGCATTGGAAAACCAATCAGGGTGGACCGTGCAACCAAGGAGTGTGCTATCGGTCGGTTTGCAAGAGTCAGCGTGGAGGTTGATCTAACGAAGCCCCTACTCTCGCAATATAAGATTGAGGGAAAAACGTACTACATTGAATTCGAAGGACTCCATACGATTTGTGGCGAATGTGGCCGATATGGCCACTCGAGCAAGACCTGCCCTTTGCTCGCGAAGACACCAGCCCCCATGGTAGAAGAACCCCAAGTTGCGAACACGACGGAAGCATCACAACCACTGTATGGCGACTGGATGGTAGCTAAGTCCAAAGGAAAAAATAATAGGAAGCAAGGCAACTCTGCTGAGAGGTATAAGAACCCCAAAGCTCAGCAGGTTAACAGTGTGGTGGAAACACCAGCAGGCAAGGCTAGTTCGGGCTCAAGGTTTGAAAGTCTAGTAGTGGAGGAAGCCGAGGATGGACTGGTGAAAGACACAGAAGCGTCAACTGACATTTCAAACACCATTGATCCAAGAGAGGCTCTGGATGATCAAGGCGGGACACAATATCTCCCAACTCCAATGTTAGTGGACCCACCACAGCAGACAGGCCTTGTTGATGTCCCTATCAAGCAGGGGATGGCCCTGTCGACTAAATCCCAGAATGTCAAAGTGGTCCCTAGCACCGCCATGCACGCCAGCAAAGGGGTCACGAAGAAAAGCCAAATGAAAACAACTGTAGACCAGAAAGGTCTGAAGAAGAATGGGAAGGGTACGTCTACATCGGAGAATCTGGTGAATCGTACAGGTGTTGTGCCTGGCGGGAAAGAGAACAGAGAGGAAGCAACTCTAGTTGGGGTGAAGCAGTCTTGCACAATTTCACTACCTGGTGACCATGACACGGCCCTTATGGGGGAGGGGGGTTTTAAAACCCCAAGTACCGGCTCTTGATTGTCAGCTCGGCTGACGGGCGGGGTATGTTTCACCTTCCAACACTTCTCCATGTTAAGTGTTCTTGCGTGGAACTGCTAGGGGGCAGGTAAGGATGTGTTTCTATCTACTTTGGAGTCTTTTTATAGGCCTTCTAGGCCGGATATTCTAATTATTATCGAGCCCAAAATCAGTGGTGCCGCTGCAGAACAGGTCATTGCTAGAATGGGTTTCGATGGTGTGCTAGTTACGGAAGCCGTGGGGTTTGCTGGTGGCATTTGGGTTCTCTGGCAAGAGCACGATTTAAAAATCTCGCCCATCTCTGTGTGGGAACAAATGATCCATTTTCAATGTGAGAAAAGGGATGGATCGAATCAAGCAGTTCTGATCTCTGCGTGTTATGGCAGCCCGATAGCGGCACGAAGGGCAGATTTGTGGTCAGAGATCTATAGACTGGCTAGGAACACAAAGCTACCTCGGCTTCTTGCTGGTGATTTCAACTCAATCCTAGGACCCAGGGATCGTACGGGGGGGGGGGGGGGGGGGGGGGGGGGGGCTGATTACAATAAATCTTGCAGCAGGGCTTTCAGGAATTGTGTTGACAGTTGTGAATTGTTCGATGTGGGCTTCTCTGGGCCTCGCTTTACTTGGTGTCGGGGGCTTCTTCAACAAAGACTGGATTGGGCCCTGTGCAATAAGAAATGGCTTCTGAAGTTCCCGAAAACGACAAACACCCACCTTGAGAGAATTGGGTCGGACCACAGGCCGATTTTGATCCAAGCTGAGGGGGCTGCCAACAACAACAAAACTCCTCGACCTTATCGTTTCCAAGCTGCTTGGTTTTTCCATGAGGATTTCCACCGGGTCATGGAGGAGAATTGGAACCAATCTGATAGGCTACCGACCTCTCTAGGTAAGCTTACCAGGGCTCTGCAGGTGTGGAATCGAAGGGTTTTCGGACACATTCTACAACGGAAAAGGCGACTAGTGCGTCGACTTCGTCAAATCGAGATGGAAAATGAAACGTTCCCCACCGAGGAGTCGCGCCGCGCCGAAGAGGAAACCCGCCGGGATCTAGAATCAACGCTCTGGCAAGAACAAGTGTTTTGGCTCCAGAAATCCAGAGCAACTTGGATTGTGGAAGGGATCGCAATACAAGATTTTTCCACCTATCGACTTTGAAACGTCGACGCTTCAATCGCATTTTGGGGTTGAAGAACAGTGAAGGACAGTGGACTTTTGACGAGACGGAACTGAGAGAAATGGCGGTCTCTTTCTTCAAAGCTCTTTACCAAGTAGAATTGGGAGTCTCCCCATGTCTTCCCAAAGGCTTCGCGGTCTTGTCTGTTTCTTCCTGTACTGGACTCGAACGCCCAATTGATAGAGAGGAGATCATACAAGCAGTCAAGAGCATGGGTAACCTAAAAGCTCCGGGGAAGGATGGTTATTAGCCGATATTCTACAAGCGATGCTGAGATACAGTGGGGGATAGCCTTGTGAACCTCGTGGAGGAATGCTTTAGAGAACCAGAACTCATTTCTCAGGTAAATGAAACTTTACTTGTCCTTATTCCCAAAAAAGAGGCTCCTGAATCCTTTCTTCAGTTTCGACCCATTGGACTTTGTAATGTGGCTTACAAAACCTTGGCGAAGTGTTTGGTCAACCTGATCAAACCCCTGATGGGGAATCTGGTTCACCCGACGCAAACAAGCTTTGTACCTGGCAGACACATATCGGATAATATTATCATAGTGCAAGAAGTAGTTCACTCCATGGGGCTGAAGAAGGGGAGAAAAGGGCAGATGGCTCTAAAGATCGACCTAACTAAAGCCTATGATAGATTGATTTGGAATTTTGTCAAGGAGGTGATCACTGAGATAGGTTTGCCGATGAAGTTGATTGATGCTATTATGGCCTGTATTACCTCACCAACAATGCAGGTTCTCTGGAATGGTCAGAATATTGAAGAATTCAAACCTTCTAGAGGGCTTAGACAGGGCTTCCCTTTGTCACCCTATCTGTTCACTCTTTGCTTGGAAAAGCTCAGCCACCTAATTCGAGAGTCCATTGATCAGGGAAAATGGAAACCAATCCGCCTAAACCCTGGAGGACCTCAATCGTCTCATATTTTTTTTGCTGACGACTTGATCTTATTTGCCCAAGCTAGCGCGGATCAAGTTGCAGTGGTCATGAAGTGTCTCGACACTTTTTGCCAAGCCTCCGGTCAACTTATCAGTGGGGAGAAATCCGTGGTATTTTTCTCAAAGAATACCAACCGCACCATCAGCTCTAGCACAGCAAGTATATTGGGAATGCCACCTACTCAGGACCTTGGAAGATATCTGGGTGTCCCAGTGCTCCACGGACGAGTCACGAAGGACACTTACGGATACATCCTGGACAGAATCAATTCTAAGCTCTCAGGTTGGAAAGCTAAAAACTTAACTCTTGGGGGAAGAGTCACTCTAGCCATTTCAGTTTTATGCTCTCTTCCGATCTATGCTATGCAGACAACGCTTTTACCTATCTCTATATGCGACGAAATTGATAAGCGGATCAGAGGGTTTATTTGGGGATCTACCACAGAAGCGAGGAAAATTCACCTGGTCCATTGGGAGGGAATTTGCAGAAAGAAAGAAGATGGCGGACTGGGACTTCGGAAAGCTCACGAGCTCAACTTAGCTTACCTCACAAAGTTGAACTGGCGCTTTCTGAAGAACCCTGAAGAACTTTGGGTTCAGGTACTGCAGTCAAAATACTTCAAAATGAGAGAGGACAGCTTGAGGTCTAAAGCATCAACAAGACAGTCAAACCTTTGGCGGGGAATGCAACGCGCATGGCCAGTGATGACGGCAGGTATGGAAATGGCTATCAAAGATGGCAAATCTATGTCCTTCTTTACTGACCGATGGCTGGGAAATGGAGAATGTCTTGCTGACCATGTGCTACCTCATTCCGATGAGCTAGAAGAGGATCAATGCGTGGCTAGCTTTGTTCAATCTAGTGGGGATTGGGACCTAGAGAGGATGAGAAATTTCCTACCGGAAGAGATGGTGCTTAGAATTGCTGGTGTCCAACCACCCCGCCCGGATGCAGGGGAGGATCTCCCAATCTGGGCACCTGAATCAGATGGAAGGTTTAGGATCCGTACAGCTTATGACATTGCTACCAGTTATGTGGCAAATCCCCAGCAGGGCAATTGGAAGACCGTCTGGAAATGGCAAGGGCCTGCCAAGATCCGCTACTTCCTTTGGCTTGCTACTAGAAGCAGGCTTCTGACAAACTCTGAGAGGCAACGCAGACATCTCTCCAACTCGGACAAGTGCAGCAATTGTGAGGATGAAGTTGAATCAGTGGTCCATGTAATTAGGGACTGTAAACTAGCGAGGCAAGTCTGGTGCGACACTATTGAACCAGGAAAACAACCTGCTTTCTTCGCCGCTGAATGCAATGAGTGGCTGGAGGATAACCTCAGCAAACCAGAGTTCAGCCTGCGCTTCGGTGCTACCTACTGGGCGCTCTGGAATGCTCGTAATGAACGTGTTTTCAAGGGTAAGGCAACTACCAAGGATGGCTTCATGAGACGGATCAATGAATGGCTCGTGGTTATTAAAACTGCTATGGAAAAGGATCAGGCCCTGCATCACACTCCCGCCCCATCGCGACAGACCGCCGAGATAGCATGGACTCCCCCTCCACGACAATGGATCGCTATCAATTGCGATGGATCGGTCCTGCAAAATTCAGGCGGCGCTTCTACAGGAGGCTTACTCAGAGATCACGGTGGTCGTTGCTTGGGAGCTTTTGCCTGCAATTTGGGAATATGCTCTATCACTACAGCTGAGCTCCGTGGAGCTGTTATGGGACTTCAAGCGGCTTGGGATGATGGATACCGCAAAGTTCAGCTCCAACTTGACTCTCAGGTGGCAGTCCATCTTCTCCAGGATAAGAATTACAGAGACCACGCTCAAGCCGGGGTGCTGAGCAAAGCTCAAGAGCTGCTCTCGAAGCAGTGGGACGTTGACATCATTCATATCTACAGGGAAGGAAATAAATGTGCAGACTTTTTGGCCAACTTGGGACATACCCTTGATATTGAACTCCATTGTGTACCGATCGATCCTAGATGTCTGAGTCATTTGATTGTGTATGATGGGCAGGGCCTTTCAGAGCCCAGGAATATCTTAATAAATTGATAGGGGGCACTGCCTTCCTTTGATAAAAAAAAAATTGAATATGAATTGTAAGTAGATTGTTTTCAAATATATTTTATATATGATTAAATTCATTTGATGTTAATGAATTTTTTCATTTTTACGATAAATCAGCTCGAACCTGCACAATTTAGTTGTAACACTAGCCAAACCATTTTAGGAAAAAATCCCAAAATACACACGTTATTAAAAAATATTCCCAAAATACATACGTTATAAAAAAAATTCACAATCTACACATGTTTGGACTTCACCGCGCCTGTCAACTGCAGTGAATAACATCACCGTGGCCGTCAAAAGCGATGAACGCTTCACCGTCGCGATCGAAAACGGTGAATACTTACTCGCCATTCACCGTGGGTGTTCCCTAACCCAAATATATAAGCTAACAGCGGTCGTAATAATCATCAGCCTTTTCTGAACAACCAATTTAACTTGATGATGGCGGATGCAACTTAACTGGATTGTTAATTATATATATATATATATATATATGATGATGATGATGCTAGCAAGTAATTTTAGATAATTAGCCCCGTTCAGCTCTGCATGCAATTTCTTTCTTCGCAATCCTCCGTCGTAAGCACCTTCATCAGTGGCAGTCGGCAGGAGGAGTTCGCTCTCCGATGCCCATCTCGGGTGAGCACCACCGCCACCAGCAGCAATTACAACACAACGACGACGAGAGGCAACGTGAGCTGTCCGGCCTACTTCCGGTGGATCCACACGGTCAAGCCTTTCGCTTACAGCACTACAGCTGGGCCTACAGCTGCCCCTTCACCCTCAGCTGATGATTATTACGGCGGCTATTAGCTTATTAATTTGGGTTAGGCTATCACCGCGTGGAACATCCTCGGTGAATGGCGAATAATTATTCACCGCTTATTAATTTGGGTTAGGCTATCACCGTTCATTGCTTTTGACGGCGGCGGTGATGTTATTCACTGCGGTTGACAGCCGCGGTGAAATCCAAACATGTGTAGATTGGGAATTTTTTTTATAACGTATGTATTTTGGGAATATTTTTTAATAACGTGTGTATTTTGAAAATTTTTCCACCATTTTACTTGTTAAACCAGTATAACGATATAAACTGATTTGACGGGCTTTACAAAAGAAAGATGCAGCGGGATTTGAGCGTGATCGTGGTTACAGTATTACTTGTTACCGTAGGGGGGCAAGTGAGGTACTGAGGTTTAGCGGGAAACAGAAAGAGGGAAAGATGCGCTAGCGGGAGCGATTGGGATGAACGCGCCGCTTGTGGTGCGGAGGAGGAGGGAGTAGTGGCCACTGGCCTGGCTGGCGGCCATGTTGGTCAATTACTCAATTAAGAAGTGGTCCGCAAAAATACAAAATAGGTAGCAGAAAATAACAAATGGTTAGTTGATGGACGAGTTTGACTCATACCGGCCTTGTTGAACTTATATCATGACATGTTGGCAAAAGCAAAATATTAATAATAACTCTTTCCGGGTAAGAAAGTAGTTGCAAAATTCATCTGCATCCCTCCCAAAAATAGGAATTAGTAAAATTAATTGGTTTATGATATAGTATGAAGTTGGTTTGATTATAATATGATATGTTCAAACCCTCATGATGTTCAATATTAACAGATGATTTATAGCACAGTGTATTACTAACCTATGCAAACTTCAAACTCATGAGCTGATTTTCGTTTAAAGGAACGTGCAAAAGAAGTGGTTAAGAGAAGGGAGAGGTTAGAGCTCGATCTAGTTTGAATACTTGTCTTCCAAACCATCATTCTTTTATGAAATTGCATCCGACTTTTTGTATATTCAATTTCGTCTTCTTTTTCGATTTGGTATGGAAGCTTTGTTCTCACCTCCAGTACCAGTGCTTCAGAGACTAGGGCCTTGTTACAGCCTCTTCCGAGTATCAAAAGCAGCTTTATTAGCAAATTTTCCAAATACAGTCTATGTTTGGCCCGAATTTTAGAAGTGTTTTTCAACTTCAAAAGTCGAAGCAGAGCCAAACAGCTCTAAAAGCTCGATTTTTGAAAAGCCGAAAACCCATTTTGAATAACATAAAAACAGAAGCTCCGATTTGGAGATTCTGCGAAAAGCTGTTTAGAAAATAAAAGATTTTCCTTACCATATCTTAATTTTATTCATAAAATATAATTTCAGTTCTTTTATATCATTATAAAAATAAAATAAATTATAAAATAATATTTTTAATATAAGAAAAATCTAACAAGATCCATTTGGACTACTTTTTATTATTTAGAATTTAAATTCATATTCATAGTTTATATTATAAGTCCTTTATGATTAGTTTACACAACCTCTCATATTAAAAAGCACTTCTAATAGTTTCCAACCTAACACTCCACTTTTTTTTTTTTTGAAAAATACTTTTCTAAAAGCTCCAACCAGAAACTGCTTCTGCAAAAGTTACAGCAGGACCAAACTAGTCCATAGTTCATTGGAAACTTAAGTAAGGAACAATTCTTTTTCTTATTTTTTTATTTTCTTATTTTGAAAGTGGGAACCCTTTTTCATCTTTCTTTGGTGTAGCTCCTTGAGCTGGATGAGAGAAAATCTCACATCCAATTTTGAGTAGTGATGACAACAAAACCCGAATCCACGGGTACCCACCCGATCCAACCCGGTCAACACGGGTAAAACCCATGTTGACGGGTTATGGGACGGGTTCAGGTTTAAACTCGCTACACTATTCATCGGGTTGGGTTTGGGTTTAGGTAAACCCGCCCCATAGGTACCCGCCCACACACATATAATTACTTTTCCGGTATATTTAATATTCTAAATAATATATCTTCCTTAAACAACTAATATTCTTTATGTTTGTGGAGACATGTATAATTTGTTCTTTCTAATTGTTTAGAATGAAGTTGATATGATGAAGTGGAGAGTGAAGAAACTTAGTTGACAAGGAAGAAGTTTTCAATTAATCTTATTGTTTATAGATGTTTATCTTTAATTTTGAACAATTTGTATTGATCATTTGCGGTTTGCTTGTATGCTCTAGATTGGTATTTTTTTATGATTAATTTGTATGAAAAAATTGATGTTAAACTTTTATTTTGAAAGAAACTTGTAATTGTAAATTTTATACCACAAAAACCGACGGGTACCCATGAATCCGCGGATACCCGGCGAGTTGGGTTAGGTTTGAGGGTTTCAAACCCAACGGGTTTTACCCCGGGTTTTTTTGGCGGATAAACCCATGGGTTTGGGTTTGACAAAACCCGCCCCAACCCAACCCATTGCCATCCCAAATTTTGAGGAGGACTCTATCTCAGTTTTTCAGGCAAACACTCAATTGCTTGGTATACATCTCTTAACAACTCGAAATATAACGAACAACTGGTAAAAAAAATCATTCATAAGAACCGTCGAACATTTTTTTTTTCAAACATGCCAATCAAACACGCTATGTCTTGCCGGCTGCATTATAACGTTAACATTGGCTAACAATGATGAAACTGTGATTCAATTGTTTCATAAGCTATATACCGCTTATTGTTTAGGAGGTTTTGCTAATCGATACGGTACGATTTTTCAATACTTAAAAAAACTCAAATGAAGTGAATGGCATTTTGTAAATCAAAACCAAAACAGTGTATGGTTGAAAACTACATAAACTTTGATTTCAAACAAATTAATTATGATTGAATAAAATTAATGGAAGAGAAGAAATTGAGTGCGAGAGGACATCAAACTAATTTTAACCAGTCTGGTTGGCTTTGTTGGATGTCAATGCTTGTTGTGTCATAATATACTCGTTTCAGGACACATTCATCGGTGATATGTATTTTTCTTATTAAACTCACATTATTTCACATATAATATCAACGGTTATCTTATTACTAGAACCAGCATCGATCGGTACTATTACAACATTGCAGAATCGTGATTTAATTAATTTTTGTAAATTTGATCTTGATTGTAAATCGTTGAATAAGAGATCCTTGATCCGATGGTCATCAAGCTATGTTCAAACATAAGTTTGCACTTGCCCTTGTCGGTGTAAATGTGGAGAATCTCCCACCAAATTTAGCATATGTTCATGATTGTCTGTAAAGCGACGGCCACCAAATACACATTCCGGGGAAAAGGCTCTTCTTGGTTGCATTGCATCAAATACAGTTTAGCTCAAACCACAAGGATTGAATATTCTTGACAGATGGTCAAGGGTAAAGTATTAACCTGCAACCCAAGTCATCTGGAAAAAGAAGTGAGCCCAAGAACAATCTGAACAGCAGACAAAGATTGAACATATGCTTTGCACCAGAAGCAAAGAAACCCCAAAAAGCTAAAGAAACAAAGAACTAAAGAGGAAACAGAGCTCAAAGCATGGAAAAGCTTCACTTCCACAGATTGCAAACTTGGCCTACAAAACCCCCCATCTCCCCTCCACGCTATTCTCAAAATCCAACTGAAGGTTTCGGCCTCATCCTTCTTCTTCTTCTTCTTCATCATCATCATCCTGTCTTCTTCATCATCAATGGCAAGAACGATCCAGAGACCGATCGGAATGCTGGGACTCACCTGTCTCGTGCTGCTGTCGCTTCAGCAAACTAGTGCATTCCAGTTCACCATTGGTGGTGCCAAAGGTTGGACGGTTCCTGGTAATTCCTCCGGCTTGAGTTACAATTCTTGGGCCGAAAGCAACCGGTTCTCCACCGGAGACTCCATTTGTAAGTTGATTACTTCATAAAGTTTCCTTCTTCGCCAAGCAAATGGAAGTGCTCTGATGTTGTTGGCTGATAATGGGTTTGTCTTTGTTGGCCGTTTCGATGACGATCTTATGCAGTGTTTGTGTACAACGCTGAACACGACTCGGTGCTGGAGGTGAGCAAGGGTGACTACGACAGCTGCACCACAACTTCCCCAGTCGGGACCTACTCCGACGGCCACACCCTCTACACTTTCAAGCACTCTGGCGCTCACTACTTCATCAGCGGCAACAAAGACAACTGCCTGAAGAACGAGAAGGTTGTCGTGGTCGTGTTGGCCGACAGGAGCAAGAACGGAACAGCACCTGCTGCTTCCCCGCCATCTCCGACTCCACCATCACCTGCACCAGCCATCGATCAGTCACCTCCAGCGGGGATAGTTCAGGTCACCCCTACCCAACCTCCTGAAGGCGAGATGCCCAACAATGGAGGGCCGTCTTCCATGGCTGCAGCAGCAGGGATCATCGGTTCAGTCGGAGCTTTCCTAGCCTCGTCCCTCGTGCTGGCATTCTGATTATTGGTTCCAGAGACAGGGTTCTTCACCTTCATGGTTGTTTAACATTCAAAAGTTGGGTTTCGTTGATTTTACTTCTTTTGTTTTACTACTGTTATTCTCCTTGGGTTGGACATCCTGTGGCATTTCACCATGAGTTTGTTCACCACCCAGAGGCTCAGTGCTTTGATTCTCGCTGGGTGTTTCGGAGATATTCCCATTGTTTGTATTCGAATATTTGTTCGTCATGGAGATGGTAATAGAGATTATGAACTAAGCTGGTTGGTGTGCATTTCAAGAGCATGTTTGTATAGAAAACGAAATAACTGAAAGAGACGAGGAGCGTTTTACTCGTACCTTCTGCATTTCAACTCTGCTTCTTCTTTTCACGCTCAGTACCCAGCCATTTTTACCAGCATCTACATTCCTTACAGTGAAACCGTGTTTCAAGGAGACGTCGGGTGTGAAATGGACAGCCAAGCTCCATACACTTCGTGTTCCCAACTTCAACAATCGGGCAAAGGACCTGCAAAAGTATGACAAGAGGCTTCCAAAGACAAAGCTAACAGGTTAACTAAGACTCATAAGATTCTTCGACAATCTATTTTCCGGGTCATAAATCCATCATCATAACAAAAATTGATGACTATCATAAGCACTATATCTAAACCAGAGCACGAAAAGAAGGGCACATATAGGGTAGACAGTACACCAGCTATAACTGAAGGCGAATTTTGCTGAACGTTCTTCAGGGTGGTATATTATGGAAAGTATCCCACAAATAACTGTTCTATGCTCTTCTTTCTTGCTAAATGCTAATTAACAACCCTGTGATTCAAAACTTTGGAATCTTTACACAGAAACTAACATAACATTTCATGTCATCTCTTCCTTCCTATCAAAAATTTTTGCCTAGCTCCACTTTCTTCACTAGCCTGATCGTGTTGTGCAGTATCGAGTCCAATATTCCCGCAACCTGAAACCAAAGGGGGTGCAATTAAGACCAGAGCTATTGAAACATGAGTAAGACGAAGAAAGAACTGAACCACGATATGAAAAGAGAACCAACCGTGAATATTCCACCAATTATGGCACACACATTGGTGATAAAATGTGAAAATGAATTCGGAAGTTCAGTGATCAGAACCTGATAGCAATTGAGAAAGGTCACGAGTCAAACTGATGAACATTTCAAGACATAGGTAGGATCCAGCTATTTCTTTGTTCTAATTTTTTTCAGTTGAAATAGAAAAGTGTAAGAGCTATAGGTTGAGATGTCTATTTTTTTCCCTTCCTTTCTACAAGTTAAAGACAGTAGGTTTGTCACTATACCTGCATAGGAGAGAGCTCAAAATGGAATTTTGCAACAGGTATATCCACGCTCTCTGCCAAACTGCTGTGGGCTGTATACTCATACTCTTCTATTATCGTGTGTTCACGAGATCCTTTCATTGATACCACCTCTGTTTTAACGATTTGAAGATAATGCTCTATCTGAGAAGTGCAAAAGCAAACAAACAAACATACAAATCGTTATGACCCACGACACATGGAATCAACTGATTTTCCATGACTGATTACTGTAAAAACTAAAGCAGTATTAACCACAAAAGGAAGAACAAAGGATAGTGAAGCCAAATACAGAAACACAACCCTTTCTACAGCTCATAATGCTTTTGCTAATGGTTTTGCTTTATATCCAGAGAAATGCGAGGTTGTATGACCCACAGCTTCTGTAGGCAAAGGCAACCTCTTTCCACAGGAAGAGTTCTTCTGACTGATATAACACGGCAACTGGAATATCCGGTGAAATATCAATCTTACGAGAGTTGCATGTAAGCAAACTTACAGTGACATTAGCACCTATATCACGCTGATTAACAAATGCTTGCCCATTCAACTTGTCGTGACTCCGACCAATATATGGCATCAATCGCTTGGCCTCAACCATTGCCTTGGCTGAAAATTTCATGCCAAACGATAGATGGGAAACAACGTGTGACATGTTCATCAGGGAAGTATCAAAGGAATGGGATCCTGAACGAGCAGAAATGATGAGGTTCCCAGGAACCTGCAAAAAGATTACATGAAATCAACTTACATGTCAGAGTGGAGCAATAAATTAGCTACAAGTAATTCCTGGCATGATCAACTTCTATATCCCCGTAATTTGAATGCCCTTTTTCTTGTCATTATAATGTCCAGAGAATAGAAAGGACAAACATTATTCACCAAAAGATATATAGAGGGACATACATTAAATATGATATATTGTGTAAAATAAATACACCACAGCTTAGACAGTTAAAGAGAACTGCATCAGTACTTATGCAAGGAAAAGGTACCTTTTTAACACGCACATATCCCTCAACTCTACATCCTCCAGTTGAGGGTGCAGGTCGTTTAATGCTCTGAGTTGAATTGTCTGGCTTGTGATGTAAAGCTGGAATAGGTGCAACAAGATTTTCCATAGTCTGTATAAAGGTAAAATGTACACATGAGCGCAGGACTTGGCTAAGAGTAAGTCTGTTCACTGTTCCACTGTAAGAAAACAAAATGCCACTATACCTGCACCAAGGTCTCAGTATCACGATCCCCATAGTAGGACTCATGCTCATGGTGTCCGTGTTCATCCCTGTCACAGTGAAATGTGTCGCATTAGCTGGGTCATAGAAAAGGATGAACGCTGCAAGCTAAATCGTCAAAAAATGCAATGAGCTCCAACCCTTGCATATTTGTATGAAGCAAAAAGAGAGAACATTGACAGATGAAAAGCCTCAAAGATATAAATGATACCTGACATCACTTCCCTTGCGAAAAATGCGAATGGAGGGATACCCTTGGATGTGATGCCTGAGATAAAAGGAAAAACGGGATAAACTAATAAATGATTACCATGCTACCAATACTAAATCACGGCTTCAACTGTAAACTCAGACGACACTACATCTGAAAAGACTTCATTCTTTCTATTTCTCTTTTCATTTTGACCTTAAGAAATAGCGAGGGAGATAATGGATACACAGATTAGCAAGAGTTTTAATTTTTAAATCGCAAAGTAAGATCGGAAAAAAGTCCATTCTAGTTCTGAGCGTCGCCACAGAGGAAGGATATATAGAACACAGTCAGTACCTCCTACATAATTCACCTTCTTCAGTGCAATCCACTTTGGCCAAAATGATGCGTCCATCAGTTTCAGGGTCGTATCTGTTAAAAATAAGAGCAATGAGGGAACCGGATACCTTAGATCTGCTCAAGAAATCATGGATAAAAAACAATGAAACAAGAAACTTTTTAACAACAAAAAAATATGATTGAAAACCTTTCCGCCATAATTTTAGATGCCTTTTCCCAAGAAGGTTTCTGAAATGAGTAAGAGATGAAGTTAGAAATGCAAAAGTAAAACATCAGATAACCAGAAGCACAATATGGTTCATCAAGTTTAACATAGTACTTTCACGACAAGATGAAAATATAATTAAAAATCGTAGCAGGAATTTATCAACAATATAATAGGATTCTACCAAGCGATTGCTCCAGTAGCACCAAGGAGCATAGAAATTGACAACCAATATCGGAAACCTGGAAACAAAAGAAAAACACATGGGAACGGGGTCGTGTCAGCTGAACCACCAAGCATGAAACCTCTTCACAGTATTAACCTTAGATCAGCACACTACTTACTGATTTGAGTAAACATCAAAATTCCGAGCACTGAGTGTCACAGAACCCTCACCCTCATGTTCACCAACATACTCATCATGCTTAATGAGCTGCATAATAGGGCCTGAGTGAAACTCAGCACCAGTGGGCTTTAGATCGTGATCTATAGAGTATTTTCTGACTGTTTTTGTAATGTTTAACCTGTTCTGAATACAAGAACTTGAAAGAATCAGGCAGGACTCCACTATGAAGAGGACAATAACAAGCTTTGTATAGCTGAGGTAAGGTATGGGATAAAGTAAAATGACATAATACATAAGGAAGCCAAGTTCTGGACAACAGTTCAGGACCCAAATAAAACCACATCCAACACATACGCATAATAACTTTAGTTTGTAAAATTTTAATAAATCGAACGAACTTTCAGAAGATTGCACAACTATATTTGGATTCCGTGCTAGAAGAGATTAACAAACTTAGGTTCAAAAGAAACATTCTTTGTGCTTTAATCTTCAGACAAATTCATCTTTGACCAAAATTACCAAACACTATTATGGTAATTGGAAACATTGACATTTCTCCCCGTAAAAATATAATAAGATGATGTATCATAAACTTACAGTTCCTAACACATCGCTCACGTCAACTGCTGCAAATTCACATGAGAGGGCTGGAAAACTACAGAAATGCGACGGTTGTTAGTCCAAAATTAAACAATAGGTAAAAAGAAAGCTTCAGAGTACAAGTTACAGAGAACTGAAACAATTGAAGAGAAGCATAAGAACTGCTTGACATGACTTGAAGACTATGCTTCAGACATGAAGGTGTCAAATTGAAACATGAATACTGACAGCATGCACTTCTAGACCACGTTTATCCTGGACTTTTCCGGGACAATGGACCTCCCACTGTAAATAATGGGCACGATAATTGTACATGTATTCAACAGTATCAATCATACTTAATAGTAGATTTAAAAAATGATATATGTCACATTAAGAATTCTGACATATTTGAGGTCCCGCATGAGCAATAATGCAAAATCGAGCTTCTATTTCTGAAAAACAAGCATGCTCCTTGTTAACCTACTTATTAGGAAAATGAAAAAACAAAAATAAGAGAGACTGATGATTTCTTTTCCAAAAAGAAGACATGAAATGTAAACAACACATTGAATTATTGGCAATATACTTGTAATAGTTTGGTTAAAGTGTTTTTTGAAATTCTGTTGAACATGACAGTCAAGCTAATAGGAAAGACATGATTTATTACTGATCTGATAAAGCCTCGAGACATTACAGGAACAATTTAGGACTCCGGGTTCTAATTTAATTACCGATGGATGAACAATTAACAGTATACTTCTCTACTCACTGCAACAGAATCTCATATACTAATACACAGAACCTGGTACAAAGGAAATCACTGTTAAGATAAGATAGGCCTACTCTTGTGTGTTTTATTTACCTGATATTAAAATCAATGCGTAAAAAGTCGCCATCGGTACTCTTGTCTACAATCACAGATGTAGAGGTGTTTACTGCTAGATAGTTACTCAGTTCCTGTAAATGATCAACATGTTAGATTACATTCCCAGCACCAAATGTCTAACAAAATTAAAGAACGTCTCAGTATCGACATTGGCGAGTATTTGCTCATCAACTGATAATACCCAATCATGGTTTACACACGCTGATAACCTTAATTTCCTCTAAATATGTAGAAGTAACCTACCATTCCAAATAGAAAAACCATGGCCAGTGCAGCTACAATGGATAGTCCAGCACCGGATAATGATGCTTCAGTCAAATCTCTGGGGATTTTTCTGCACACCAAAATCAACCATTAGAAGGAAAAAGAGAATAAGAAGAGACATACAGAAAGCGGAACCTGGCAACCTGCACCCTTTTTGGGAGATTAAGGAACAAACGATTCTCTAACGGACTCATTTAGTCAAGCAAAAGTAAGGGAAAAGGTAACTAACGAACAGATTTTAACATCCTCTCATTCTAGTTAAGTTTCCTATCTCGAGTAATTTTCCTACACGAGAACTGCAGCAAGGAACGTTCATCAAGTGTTCTAGCTCCAAAAGGTTACCGAATTTCTTAGCAATACGAAAAAATTTCACAAAATTCCAATTGACAGGTCACTTGAGTAGTATTCTTTCTGGCATTGCAGAATTCTGGCGCAGATGCGAAGCAATTAGTCATGGAAATGAGCTAATGGGATCAAACATGCGCTATGCAACAGGAAACCGAATGCAGTATGCGAGCCTAGAACAAGCTAGGAAAACAGAGTAGGATCGGAACGCATTCCTCCACGAGGCGAACACTCGACAGCGCCAGAAGGCACCGATCATGCATTAGAAAGAAAGAAGAAAAACGAAATGGACGAGCGATTGTCGCCGGGTTCCAATGCTCTGGACGCGGCCGGCGACGCAATTCAGAATTCTAGATCCGTCGAGAACCGGAATGCCGCTGAGATAAAAACGAGGAACGGGAAGAAAATGAGGAGGAAAAACCTGTAGAAATCCATGGATTTCAGCCTGCTCGACGAAAGGCCCGCCATGGCTGGCAATCTACAGAGCGTTCGAGCAGCGGATTGGAGAAAGGGAAGACTAGGAAGAGAGTGAAGCCGGGAAATGGAGGAGAAAGAGTCGGAAAATGAGAATAGATCTGTTTGGCTGGCTGCTGGCTTGATAATGAATTTATGATTGATCGTCAGAGGCTAGAGGAGGAGGGGTAGGAGGACGAAAAGGAGTCGGAGGCGGAGGCCGTAAGCATGAGGAATTCAGGAAATGGAAATTCGCCCATTCATGGAACTGTTTTTTTAAATTATTAACACTCTGAATATGAATTTTGCAATCTACTCCAACCTCTTTGTATTTTTTTTATCTTTTATTATGTCCTCTACTGCTCTGACAGTCCTTAACTTTGCGATTCTTTTCTCTTTTATTTTTTCCTAGTAAAATACTTCCGAATTTGTTTTTAATATTCCTCTTTTCATTAATTCTTCTTCTTGTAAAACCATCGATTTAATTGTATGGTTAGTCACTAAAATTACAAAAAACGTTCACATTTGGTCAGCAGAAATAATTAATTCTATTAGTGGTCATTAGAATTATGTAAACAATCCAAATTTGGCCACTCTTCGTTAGTCTTCGTCCGTCTTTGTTAACACGGGCGAAAGTTAGCAGCAAACTGGGTTGCTCCCGATGGCTGCTGTCAGCCCATGTGTCACACTATGATTGGTTCAAAGTTATTTGTTTACTAATTTTAATGGTTAATTAAAGTGCAAAGACCAGAGAACGAAACAGACCTAAGTTTACATTACTTTCTCTTCCAATTAACGGGATGGGTTAGCATTACTTTCTCTTTCACATGTTTCAAAGAGTTTAGAGACTAATAAAATTATATTTTTTGTTAAATATGTATGTACATATATTATCGCTTTAAAACTTTCGTATGACGGTATCAGTATTATTTTGTGTTTTTTTTCGTTCATTTGATTGCTCTTGTACTAAACGCGTATAAAACACGTATAACATGTTTAATATCCGTATTTAGTGTATTAAATTGCTAACTTAAATATTATTTATATATTTTATAACTATTAACGTACTATTAAAACATTAGTTTAATAACAAAGTAAATTACATGTGCGTATTTATACGTAAATTACCCATATAGGATTTTACTAACTATGTGGTGCATAACCGTTACAACATTTGTTTTACTAATTGGATTATCACATTTTCGGAGATTATTTTCTTATAAGTAGTATTTTTTATTAATGATTATATTTAAAATGATACCATTCTTTTTGAATGATTTTTGAATGTATACTAGACTTAATTTATTTATAATTATATTCCTAAAACTTCAAATCTACTGTCCAAATCCTGAAGGAGGTCGACCGAATTGACCATGCATGTCACCTTAACATGGATTTTTCGGTCGACCTAATCCTAAAGGAGGTCGACCGAATTGACTAATTTGGGCACAACGAGAAACCATCGCTGTCGACCTCAAAGATCATCTGGTCGACCGTACGTAGTTTAAGTTGTTATTTTTGGTTGACCACAATAAAACCTCGGTCGGCCATTTCGTTGGCGTCAGAAACAACATGGTCGACCGTAACGGTATATAGGTCGACCACTTGATGGCGGTCATTAACAACATGGTCGACCATTTCAAGAAAAGAGGTCGACCAGATAGAAGAGAAGTGTTCTATCCATTTGTCCAATCATCATTTGACGTAAAATGAAGATTAAGTGTTGGTTTCGAGGTCGACCTAATCTGGTACGAGGTCGACCGAATACAAGAAAGTCAACCTATGCCCCGTGTCTTTTTTGCTTATGTATGTCGATTTGTGTGGTTCTTTTGCTCGTACAAATTATGTTTCAAACCATCATAACTAGTCATAAATAATGATAACAAGGACTCATCACTTCAGAACATAACAACTAAACAAACTAACAAGAAATACAATAAAACACAAATCATATTGTTCACACGAAAAAAAAAACTAAAACAACAGAATAGCAATCAACAATCGTTTTTAACACTTAGCAATAAAAACACATAATCTAAAATCATCGAGTTCCTACTCCTGTACCCTCTCTCTCTCATCCACATTTTCTTCATTGTTGCTGCTAGCATGATGGTAGTCGGATGTGTGGGATGCATGTATCTTCCACTGAAAGATCGAAACTCATCTCGCATCTCATTCACGGTCACTTGCAGTGTGCTCATCTGGGTGGTCATTTGCCCCATGTAATCGTACATGCTAGTCATCTGGGTAGACATCTGACCCATGTATTCGTACATGCCATCCATGCGCTCCCACAAACGCTCTAAGGTGACCGGTGGAGTTGAACTCTGTGCCTGCGGCATTGGCTCGTCTCCAGCTCCTTCATCAGAATCACCATCATCATCATCATCGCCACCACCACAACCATGGACACCATGAGCATTGTTTATGCGGACATACTCACCATTACGCAGCTCAAAGCCCATCTTTTTCAGAGATGAAACTGTATAGAACTCTTGCCTTGAGATTCTAAAGCCAACCTCACCACTTAAATCCACATTAAAATGCTCAAATAGCAAATTCAGGATCATCCCATAGGGAAGATTCCTGTTTGAACTCTCTGCAGCAGTAAGCATGTGGTTAAAGATCAAGTATGGCAAGTTCACCTTCTCGTCTAATAGTATGTTGGTGAGGAACTCCATGTCGAAGCACGTGATTGTCTCCCGATGTCCACCCTTTAGCAGAATGTTGTAGGAAAGCATGTGGTGAAGAACTCTAGCTTGAACTGTCAGGTTGTTACTCGTTGGCCTACTGCGACCTTGAGCATCTTCCTCTTCATCAAGACCACATACCGTTTGGATTTTCTTGGCTCTCGAGAAATGAGTTTCATTCCAAGCAGTGTAAGAATTGATTCTCTTCCCCTCATTTGGAGCCTCTAGTACTTGCGCCAACACATTCTTGTTGATGCGCATCTCCACCCCATTCACATAGCTTTTAAATGCATGAATGGATCCATTTGCATTATGTTGGTAGGTGATGTTGTTGTAGAAGTATTGTATCATTTTTGGGTAGTATGGTGCATTCAGAGATATCACCTTCAACCACTCTTGCTCGACAAAGGGTCCTGGAAACCCGTAATTCTCGAAATAAGAATACGCATCCGTCATCAAATTCCTTCCAGGAGCCACCATACGGTTGTGCATTCTCCTCTCTTCAAATTTGTCACTTTGCTCCTTCGTCTGGACAAAGAGGGGCTGAAGTCTACCCATTCCGAACTTGAGGCAGCGACTTTGTTTGCCTTTCTTTTCTTTTTGTTGCCAAACATCATAAGATCAAACAAGCAAGAATAAACGTTAGGAACATTTTTGAAATGAAAAAAACTCAGTCGACCTCTCCATAAACAAGTCGACCTAAACACTACACGTATAGATAAAACAGAACAGCGTTAGGTCGACCTCTAAAACTCATAGGTCGACCTAATACACACCATATGTCGAACTCAGAAAATAAAGCACAAATATGGGTCGAAGAATGCCAAAATTGGAGTGCAAAACATCATAGGTCGACCTCATAATCATAAGGTCGACCTCAGTTTATTAAAAATGAGAATGAGTCGACCGAAACCCGTAACAATTGGAGTAAATAACATCATAGGTCGACCTCAATAGAATCATAGGTCAACCTCCGTTAGTGTCGCATAAATGAGTCGAAGAAAAAGGCTAAAACTCGTATTTTTGCCGTCATAGGTCGACCTCAGAAACATCATAGGTCGACCTCGGTGAATAGAAAACGAGAATGAATAGGCTTAAACGCTTAAAATGTGTAGTGCAAAATAGATTAGGTAGACCTAAAAATCACCATAGGTCGACCGCGGTTAGTTTCGCACAAATGAAAAGAATCAATTAAAAGAGATCCTAGAATTCCAATTACGAATTCGTTGGGGCCTTTAGGAGAAGAAGAAGGCCAAAACTCGTATTTTTGCCGTCATAGGTCGACCTCAGAAACATCATAGGTCGACCTCGGTGAATAGAAAATGAGAATGAATAGGCCCAAACGCGTAAAATGTGGAGTGGGAAACTGATTAGGTCGACCTCAAAATCACCATAGGTTGACCTCAGTTAGTTTTGCAGAAATGAATTGAAGAAGAAGGCCAAAACTGGTATTTTTGGCGTCATAGGTCGACCTCAGAAACATCATAGGTCAACCTCGATGAATAGAAAACGAGAATGAATGGGTCCGAACGCGTAAAATGTGGAGTGCGAAATAGATTAGGTCGACCAAAAAATCACCATAGGTCGACCTCAGTTAGGTTCGCACAAATGAATCGAAGAAGAAGGCCAAAACTCGTATTTTTGCCGTCATAGGTCGACCTCGGAAACATCATAGGTCAACCTCGGTGAATAGAAAACGAGAATGAATAGGCCCAAACGCTTAAAATGTGGAGTGCGAAACAGATTAGGTCGACCTCAAAATCACCATAGGCCGACCTTAGTTAATTTCGCACAAATGAATCGAAGAAGAAGGCCAAAACTCGTTAAAACCATCATAGGTCGACCTCAGAAACATCATAAGTCGACGTCGGTGAATAGAAAATGAGAATGAATAGCCCCAAACGCATAAAATGTGGAGTGTGAAACTGATTAGGTCGACCTCAGTTAGTTTCGAACAAATGAATCGAAGAAAAAGGCCAAAACTCGTATTTTTTCGTCATAGGTCAACCTTAGAAACATCATAGGTCGACCTCGGTGAATAGAAAATGAGAATGAATAGGCCCAAATGCGTAAAATGTGGAGTGCGAAACAGATTAGGTCGATCTAAAAATCACCATAGGTCGACCTCAGTTAGTTTCGCACAAATGAATCGAAGAAGAAGGCCAAAACTCGTATTTTTGTCGTCATAGGTCAACCTCGAAAACATCATAGGTCGACCTCGGTGAATAGAAAACGAGAATGAATAGGCCCAAACGCTTAAAATGTGGAGTGCGAAACAGATTAGGTCGACCTCAAAATCACCATAGGTCGACCTCAGTTAGTTTC